CCGATGCCACGAGCAGCACCACGACCGTCAGGAGCCTGCTGCGCCCGCTTGAGCACCGCCTGGGGGTGCGCTGGCGCCGCAGCGGCAGCGCAGGCGGCAAGCCCAGTTCGACGTGAGCCCGCACTGATGGCAGCCCCAGAAAGGCCTCTTGGGCCCCTGGACCACCGCTCCATCCATGGATGCCTCACCACCGAGGTCTTAGAAGACTGCGGGGTTTGAGATACCCCAAAACTGCACAAGCCAAAAAGGCACGCGACAGCGACTGCCGCCCTGAAGACTGCTGTCGCAAGCTCAGACCCTGAGCCAGAACGGCTGGGCTTGAGCCAAAATGGCTTGAGCCAAAATGGTTTGAGCCAAAATAGCTACGGACATTCACAGGTTTCCTTATCTTAGAGCCACGAAACCTGTGATGCGACCAAACAAACCAACAATTACGCTACCGAAGAACCCCACATACTTGTTTTATGTCACGTGTGTTCACAAACCATGTCACATCTCGCTTCGCCATCCTGACGAGAGACTGACCAGACCAGCCAGATCAGCCAGACCAGCCAGACCAGCCAGATCAGCCAGACCAGATTACGCGACTGCCACGCCCTGGGAGCCTGCAGCGCACAGGTCCCCCACCTCCAGCGCACCCCCTGTGGCGTCGAGGAAATGCCACGCCTGCCACGCCCTGGGAGCTTGCAACGCACCCCTCTGGTGTCGAGAAAGTGCCACGCCTGCTGGGCCCTGCGACATTGGCGCGTATAGAGACCGCGGTGGGCCCCCACCCCCAGCGCACCCCCTGTGGCGTCGAGGAAATGCCACTCCTGCTAGGCCCTGCGACATTGGCGCGTATAGAGACCGCGGTGGGTTTCCACCCCCAGCGCACCCCCTGTGGCGTCGAGGAAATGCCACGCCTGCTAGGCCCTGCGACATTGGCGCGTATAGAGACCGCGATGGGCCCCAACCCCCAGCGCACCCTCTGTGGCGTCGAGGAAATGCCACTCCTGCTAGGCCCTGCGACATTGGCGCGTATAGAGACCGCGGTGGGTCCCCACCTTCAGCGCCCCCCACTGTGGCGTCGAGGACGTGCCACGCCTGCTAGGCCCTGCTAAGCGGTGAGACCCCCCCCTGCACACCCGCTCTGGTGTCCCACCCCTGCTACGCTCTGCCGTGCCGTGCCCTGCGCGCCAGCCCTGTGTGTTATGCTGTGCTGTGCTGTGCTGTGCTGCTGTGCGGTGAGCTGTGCTGTGCTGTGCCGTGCTGCGGTGAGCTGTGCTGTGCTGTGCTGTGCTGAGTTGAGCTGAGCTGAGCTGTGCTCAGCTGTGCCGTGCTGAGCTGAGCTGAGCTGTGCTGAGCAGTGCTGTGAGGAGGAGGAGGAGGGGGAAGAGTGAGGTGAGTGTCGCGGGTGTGTCGCGGGTGCGGCGCGGCAGGGAAGAAAACCAGAACCCCACGAAGCATGTGGGGAAAAACCAAAAGATACCAAAACAAACTTATGGCACTACAGAAAAAACAACAATCAAAGGTTTTCGGACTTCGCACTCCTGGCGGGCCCTCCTGGAGTCTGGACCCCAGGAGGGCCCGCCAGGAGTGCGAAGTCCGAAAACCTTTGATTTTTGTTTTTTGTAGTATCACAAACTTTTTGGTTGTTATTCTTTCTGGTTCTTTGGGTAGTGTCACAGGTTTCGTGGCTCTAAGATAAGGAAACCTGTGACTGTCACTGGAAAACAAATACAATCAAAAGTTTTCGGCCCCTGCCCATTTCCGGCTCCGGACTCCAGGAGGGCCCGCCAGGAGTGCGAGGTCCGAAAACCTTTGATTTTTGTTTGTTTTTTTTGTAATGTCACTGTTTTTTGTATTGCTTTGTTTGTTTTTTGTTTTTTTTGGGTAGTGTCAAAGGTTTCGTTACCCTAAGAGAAGGAAACCTGTGGCTGTCATTGGAAAAACAAATAAAATAACAAGTTTTCGGCCCCTGCCCATTCCGGCTCCGGACTCCAGGAGGGCCCGCCAGGAGTGCGAGATCCGAAAACCTATGATTTTTTATATTTGTTGGTAGTGTCATTGGTTATATATATGTATTGTTTTTTGGGGTAGTGTCACAGGTTTCGTGGCTCCAAGACGCGTTTCCATTGTTTTTTTAAATAGGTTTCGGCAATCGCACTCCTGGGAGGCCCTCCCGCCCACTCAAGCCCCAGACAATACGGGAACCAAGAGGAAAAGAGACAATAGGGAACCAAGAGTCCACAAGACAATATGGGGGAACCGAGTGGACAAGAGACAATGGGGAAACGAAGAGGACTATAGACAATGGGGAAACCAAGAGGACAAGAGACAATGGGGATACCGAGAGGACAACCGCTACACCAGCATCATCGTTAACGTCTGCATCAGCATCTACATATACAACTACACCAGCACGTATATGAAAAACACAACGCTGATCTACGCATGCACCGAAGACACATCACGTCACATAGTCTTAAAAGTCACCCTTACGGGGGGGGGGGGGGGGAGCTCGCTCAAGCTTCGCTCTGTCGGGAGGGGAGGGGGCTGACGCCATAACTGTCGCCATTCAGGCCCAGGAGGGGGGAGGGGGGGCGGAGGGGGTGATGCCATGGCTGACGCCATTCAGGCCCGGGAGGGGTGAGTCGGGGGGGAGGGGGGAAGGGCTGACGCCATGGCTGACGCCATTCAGGCCCAGGAGGAGGGAGGGGGTTGGGAGCTCGCTTAAGCTTCACTCTGTCGGTGGGGGGGGTCACGCCCGAAGAGGGCTCCCAGACGGCCCAAGAAGGGCCCAAGACGGCCCAAGAAGCCCAAAGGAGGCCCCCAAAAGGCCCCCAAGAGATTCAACAACTTCCTACACCGCGCCCCCAAGAAGCCTTCAGGATTCCTCCAAACAGCCCCCCCAAAAGCCCAGGAGCGCCCCCAAAAGGTGTCATACATCAGCTACGTCAACATCCCATGAGCTTGGCTGTGCACGCGAGGTCGCCACTTTCGAATACCCGAAGGTTGCCCAAGCGAGTTCAACATCAATGTCTTATGAGGGTGTCTGGAGCGAGCGCTCTACTTTTAAACATAAAAAAAAAGTCATCCGTTGCAAGCAGAATCGGTAGCACCCCGGATCGGCGGCACTGGGAAGAGGCCACTACAATAACTAGATACATACAATCAGTGCGCATATGGGAATCTAGGCGCCCCCTGCAAACATCTATATGTATACAAATACAAATGGACAGCGAGAAAGGACGAGACAAAGAGAGAGAGAGAGAGAGACGAGAAGAGAGAGAGAGAGAGAAAGATAACGAATACTACATATGAAGATGAAAGGATAGATACGTATATCTCTATATCAGAGGTTGGGGGGGTGGGATCGAAGAGGGCGGGAGAGCCCCCCACCAGGGAATGGGTTTCGACTTTGGGTTCGTGTCGTGCGTGCGGGCGAAGCGAAGCTGCGTGGGCGGGCGAAAAGAGTGACTCCGCTGAAGCCAGGGCGGGTCAAGACACAAGACCGCCCCTCCGGTGAGCCGGCGTGGCCACGTGTGTATCGCCATAGAGACCCGCCGTGGTGTCCCGTCGGTGTCCCGTTGGTGTCCGCGGGCGGTGGCCGGGGTTGTCCAGCCGTGGTGCCCCGTCGGTGTTCTGCCGGTGTCCCGTCGGTGAGATCGATCAAGTGAGATCGCTGGAGTGGATCGGTAAGGTGAAATCGGTAGAGTGACAGCGATCGAGTTCGACCGATAAGAGTTAGACCGGTAAGAGCTAGATCGATAGTGAGGATGATAGAGAAATCGGTGGTGAGATCAACTGAGTGAAACGTTGGTTCCGCCCCCCCCAAACACCTCCTTATCAGCCGAAGGGTGGTCGTATATGTACATAGATTCAGGGAGAGGGTTGCTCTAACACATAGATACCCGGTATCTGTATGTATGTACATATATACAGATTACGTATCGGAGGTATGGGGTGAGATCGCAGTGAAACTGAGGCTCCCCACCAGGGAAATCGGTTTCGGTTTCGTGTTCGTGTTCGTGTCGTGCGTGCGGCGAGGCGAAGCTGCGTGGGCGGGCGAGAAGGATGAACCCTCCTCTGGCTAGGGCGCCGCCGGGCCGAAATTCCGCCCCGCACCCCCCCACCCCGGTTAGCCAGCGGCGGTGGCCGAGGGTGTCCCGCCATGGTGTCCCGATGGTGTTCCGTGGTGTCCCGTCGGTGTTCCGTGGTGTCCCGCAGTGGTCCCTGGTGTCCCGTGGCGCGGTGTCCCGTGGTATCCCGTGAGGACGATAGTGAGACGGATAGGGCGACCGATAGTGGCGCAGTGTCCCGTGGTATCCCGTGAGGACGAACGTGAGACCGATAGGGCGACCGATAGTGAGATCGATAGTGAGATCGATTGTCAGATCGATAGTGAGATCAATCGTAAGATCGATAGGGAGATCGATTGTGGCATCGATTGTCAGATCGATTGTGAGACTGCTAGTGAGATCAATAGTGAGATTGATCGTGGGACCAATAGTGGGATCGATAGTGAGATCGATGGCAATATTGATGGTGGCATCGATAGCGAGACCGATCGTGAGATTGATAGTCAGATCGATTGTGACATCAATGGTCAGATCGATTGTGAGATCGATTGTGGGATCGATAGTGGGCTTGATAGTGGGATCGGTAGTAGGATCGATATTGATGTCGATAGTTAGATCGATCGTGAGATCAATTGGGTGAGACGTTGGTCCCTCCCCCCGAACTTCCTTATCACCCGAAGAGTGGTCGTATAGGGATGTAAAGGGAGAGACGGCCAAGAGAAAAAGAGAGAGAGAGAGATAACACCGGGCGGGGAAGAAAGTGAGAGAGAGAGAGAGAGACAGAGACAGAGACAGAACTTGAGAGGCAACCACGCGTACATCCTAAGAGGCACAGGTACACATAACTAAAGAAATGCACACATGAAGATATCTCTACATATGCAGAGACGCAGGGAGAGACAGCGGCCTGGGCACAGAGCGGAGCGTGGCGGGGCGCGCCTGCTTCTGGGACTCCTCGAGGCGGTTGTGGTCGCCCTTCGCCTCCTTCACCAAGGCGGTCAGATCCTCCAGCCTCCTCTGGGCCTGGGTCGCCTGGGGGAACGGAAGGACGACCACGGGCCGTGTATGAGTATGTGTATGCATATACGGCGGATTCGAGAAACCCTGAACCTAAAAAAGTTGCCATCTCGTGGGGGCGCATCCTTTACTTCCGCCAACTTCCGCTGGCCAACTTCCGCACGCGGAGGCGGCCTCGTTATATGTCTGTCGCCTCCGCCACCCTTCCGCCGCCTTCCGCGGCCTTCCGCCGAAGAAGAGATGCCAACTCCTTCGATCCTCGAAAGCGGGGCCCTTCTTAGAACGCCGCATACATACATATATATACACTAGAACCATCGCGCGCGCGCGCTGCGCGCGCGCTCAGGTTCTAGCCCAGGCTGGGGGGGGCGCTGGACGATCTTGGACAACGCTATCAAGCACAGGCGCGCGACGGCATCTGAGGAGCTTCTGGGGTGTTCCGCATGCTTCGTCAACTGGCTGTTGGAGACACCTCTTGGGTGCCTCTCGGGGGGGCGTCTGAGGGTCCCTTGGGGGCATCGGCTCTGCAATCTGAAGCCGTCATTGGCCGTCTTGGCGGCGTGGAGGCCCGACTTGAGGCCACCTGCGGCCAGATTGAGGCAATCCAGAAGCCTCCCGGGGGGCTCCTGGAAGCAGTGTTGACGCATCGAGGGCACTCTTGGGCTATTTTAAGACCTCTTGGACGTCTCCTAGGGGCCTTTTGGGCCCGCGGGAAGCTTTTGGGGTCCTCGTCGGACCACTTGGGGGCCTCTTGCGGCCTCCTGTGGGCCTTTTGGGGGGAACGCTCTGCTGCTGGGTCGTGTTCCCCTTCTTGGGCCTCTCTTGGGGCTCTTGGGGCCCTCTCGGGCAGTCTTGGGCGCCTCGAGCACCGTCTTGGGGCCCTCGCGGGCCGTCTTGGGGCCCTCTTGGAGGCCTCTTCCTCTATATTGGATCGGTATTGGAAGCCTCTTGAGGCGTCTTGGAGCATCGGGATGCCAACAGGCCGACAACAATTAAAACCCGTCAAAGCCCAATCGCAAAACAATGAGTTGTGCCTCTTGGGGGCACCTTGGGAGATCTCTTGCAACCTCGTCGGCCCTCTTGGGAGCTTCTTGGGGGCCTCTTGGATCCGATTGGGGGCCTCTTGGGACTTCCCGGGAACCTCTCGGGGTAGGAAGCTCGGATTCTCAGTTCGTGTTTCCCTTCATGGGCCTCTCTTGGGGCCGTCTTCGGGCCCTCTCGGGCCGTCTTCGGCGCCTCAGGCACCGCCTTGGGGCCCTCGTGGGCCGCCCAGGGCCCTCTTGGAAGCCTCTTCGGCTATCTTGGAGCTGTCTTGGAGGCCTCTTCCTCCTCCTCGTCCCCCTCCTCCTCCTCCTCCTCCTCCTCCCACTCCAGCTCTCTCTCCTCCTGATCTTCCTCCTCCTCCTCCTCCTCCTCCTGCAGCGTGCTCCGGAAGGCTCCCGCCGGAACATGCTGTGCACAAGTGCTGTCACTGCTCCCGCCGCCGTGCCCTGGGTGGTGGGTCAGAGGCCTCATGGGTGTTGGTTTGGATCTCGTGGTTGGCCTGTCGGGGACGTCGTGAAGGCAGTTTCACAGCTTCTCGGAAACCGTTTTGGGACCGTTGTGGGGCCTCCTCGGGGCTGTTTTGTGGCTGGCCTCTTTAGACCTCGTTTGGGCCTCCTGGGTGCCTCTTGGGGGCCTCCTGGGGCCTCTTGGGGGCTCCTTCGGGCCTCCTGGGCACCCTTCAAGCGGGAGGGTCGAAGTTTGGAGTCGTGGTCCCCCGGTCCCCCTTCTTGGGCGCATCTTGGGGCCGTCTTGGGGCTCTGTTGGGCTGTCTTGGGCGACTCTGGGGCCGTCTTGGGGCCCTCTTGGGCCGTCTTGGGGCCCTCTTGGGGGCCTATTGAGCCGTCTTGGACGTCGGACGGCCGAAAAGGCTGGAAGGCCAAAATCGTTCGAAAACCTTCGTAAATTGACGATTTCGGTCTCTTGAAGCGCTCTGGAGAGGCGTCTTGAAGCGTCGTGGAGTGCCTTGGGGGGCCTCTCGGGCCGTCTTGGGCCTATCTTGGGCGTCCTGGAGCGGTCTTTCGGCGACTCGGGGCCCGCTTGGGCCGTCTTGGGAGCCTGTGGAGGCCCTCCTGGACTATTTTGGACTTCCCCGGCCGCCCCGTCCCCCCACGGGGGGTCGGAGGCGGCGGCCTCCAAGGCCCAGGACGCGGAAACCTTATAAAAACACATGGAAAGTGAGCCCTGGAGCCCCCAGGGGGCGCAGGTCCACTCCTGGCGGCCTCCCTCGGAGGCCCTGGAACGCCGAAACCTTGTAAAAACACAGGGAAAGTGAGCCCCGTGGCCCCCATGGGGGTCCGAGGCACCAATCTGGCGGCCCCAGGTCCCGTTCCCCGGTATATACATATGTATTTGCCACCGTGCCCTTGGCACGAAGTAGAATTCCCAAAGGCTCACTGCTCTGCTGCTGCTGCTGCAGCCAAGACTCTAGATTCTCAAGGGGCCGGACTCCCAGAGTTCCTTGCCGTCCCAGGGTATTCACGGGTGTCCCCAGTGAGTTCTTGGATGTTTCCTGCTGGTCCTCTGACCTGGGAAGCGCCCAAAAGGGTGCAAGAGCGCCCCGAGACGGACCCAAAGGGCCCCAAGACTGCCCATGATGCCACGATGCCCTCCAGACAACCACAGGGACCAGCTCAGGGGGGGGGGGGACATGGACCTGTAATCGGCGAACCATCGCCGATAGATCGGCGATAGGCCCCCGATAGCGAAACCGCACGCTCCTGGGCGGGGGGGACTATCTGGCCCTTATCGGTGACAAAAGGGCGATTGGGGGTCGATGCATCCCTTTGGGTGACCCAAAAGGGGTCCAGGTGAAAGGGGGTGGTGCAATAGATTTGGGGCAATTGTATTGCAAATGCATTGCGCCAGAGAGTTCTCTTGCATTGTGATGCAAGAAATTCATTACACGCGAAAATCCAACAATACTTTTGCGCCCAGGAATGTATTGCACGCCCCACATGTATTACAACCCCACAGATCTATTGCACCAAACCTATTGCACCACCCCCTTGTCGCTCGACCCCTTGTGGGTCAACCCGAATCCCCCCTGAGCCTATCCCCCCCCTAACGTTACCCCTGAGGTCCATGGTCGGTCAGTTCGAGGGTCGAGGGTCGAGGACCTGTTTGCTGATTCTTGGGGCGTCCTCCGCCGCTTCTGGGGGCCCCAGGTGCGCCCTCTCGTCCGGCCACGGCCAGGGCAGGGACCCGCCCCGAACTTTGAGCCAGAACGCGCGCGCGGGACAGGTCTGGGGGCCCGTCGTCCACGTCGTCGTCGTCGTCGTCGTCGTCGTCGTCGTCGTCGTCGTCGTCGTCATCCTCCACTTCCTCCTCCTGCTCCTGCTCCTGCTCCTCCTCCTCCTCTTCCTCCTCCTCATCCTCCTCCTACTCATTGTCGCCGCGGTAGGCGGCTACGCCGTGTGACGAAGAGGGGGAGGACGAGGGGGAAAGAGGTCGAGGGAGGAAGGGAATGAAGCAGACGAGCAACGGGATGAAGTAAAATCCGCATAAACTATAAACCTAAGCTTTGGGAGTTCCGCGCGGGCTTCTTGGATCGGCGCTGGACCCCTCCCCCCTGGCACCGCCAGGGGGGCCCAGCGCCGATCCAAGAAATCCACGCGGACCTCCAAGCGTTGATGTTGACTTCCCAAACACCAGATGTCTTACTTTGTTTCAATACCAAGTACCTGGAAGTCCCGACTCTTTCCCCTGGGCCGTTTGTTCTTATCCCGAGCCGTTTTGTGCACGGCCCTGGCTCCCGTCGAGGGCGCTCGGAGGCAGACAACAGCCAAAGACCGACCGACAGCTCATGCCGATGCGTCGCTTCCTGTTCCGAAAGGGAAGAAGGAGGGAAGGAAGGAAGGAGGGAAGGAGGGAAGGAAGGAAGGAAGGAAGGAAGGAAGGAAGGAAGTGATGGAGGGGGAGGCGGAGCAGGAGGGGGAGGGGGGGGGGGAGTGGGCCGGGGGCGTTCGGGGCGGACCTCGGCGGCACGGAAGTGGGTCGGCTCGGCGTGGCGCGCCCTCCAGCCTCGGCGGCGGCGGCGGCGGCTCAGCTCCTCTTGTAGAGGTACCGGGCCAACTCCGGGTCGCCAGAGATGTCGTCATCTGGGCCCCAGAAGTCTTCGGCCTTGTCCGACGCGCCGCGGCCCCTGGGCTCGTTGGCTTTGGCGATGGCGTTGTAGATGTAGGCCGTGGCGCGCTCGACGTCACGCTTCTCGCCGACGACGACGACGTTCCTGTTCGGGGTCTCGTCGCGGGGGATCCTGACGCGCACCTTGTAGTTCTTCTCGATGTGCCTCAGTTCGGACCCCGCCTTTCCGATGATGAACCTGTAGTTCCACTCCTCGATCTCCAACTCCTCGTGCACTTGGCCCGGGTGGGTGATCTCGTGGTGGTAGTCCGCCGCCGTGCCAACAGCACGTGCGCGTTAGAACGCACGTTGACTGTCTGGTAACTACGGTTCTGAACAGTCGGAGCTCTGCCATAAGGAACCATGGGTAATTATGCAACGAAGGCCCTTTGTGGCCTCAGTTGTGCCTCGGTGCGCGAAGAGCACCAAACGTGGAAGGACCCAAGGAACACCGAGCCCCGTCCGAGGCCAAGGTGGACCTCGTCCGAAAAAGCCCTCAGTGCAGGGCCGATCCCCTCAACCCGCGAGACCGTGAGCAGAAATCACTCCCCCCAAGTTCTGCTCCCTGGCGCTCCTCTTGGACGCAACCGTGGCCCCAAGACGGCACAAGACCGCCCAAACGACGACCTCAGCGTGCTCCAGGACCACTCTGGGTCAGCCCAAAGAAGGCCCCCAGATGTCCCCGCGAGGCCATGGCAGGCTCCGACCAGCCCTCACCTCAAGAAGGCATCCGAGCCCTCCAGCCATGCCCTGGGAGGCTAAGAGCATTGAAAAACCTCATGGTGCTCGATGTGCTTCATGTTCCCAAGCCGCTCGAGCCTAAGATGACCTCAAGAAGGCTTCAGGGAGCCCCAAAGCGGCCCGAGTGTGACCCGATGTACCACCGGACCGCCCCGAGAGGGCTCCAAGACGGCCCCAGGCCCAAGGACCCAGCCAAACAGCCCCAACAAGTCAAGAAGGCCATACCGTACCCCTCCGGGAGGTAGAACAATCGTGCCCAAGACAGCGCCAGGACCCCCCACAGGCCCCCTTAGATGTCCTGTAGAAACCACCAAGAAATCCCCGGGGAGGACCCAAGAGGCCCCAGAGGTCCCGAGAAGCCTCTACGAAGCCCTCAAGAGGTAGCGCAGCGTCCATGCGATGGTACGCGCACGCCACGCATTAGTATCGCCGCGCTGCTTCCCTGAAGATCCCAATACGGTTCTTCCGAGACTGTTCAGGAGAGCTGAGCGGAAACCTCCTGCATGTATTATGGTGCTGCGCTGGCACGGCATCGGGATTTGCCGCAGGCAGCTGGATACATTACAATGTCGTTAACTACCTCCTTAGCCTTCTCGACGTTTTCGCCCTTGCCAGCAATTGTGACCATGGTCCTTTTCGGCCCAGACCCAGGCGGCCCAGAGGTTTTGGGCATCGTGATCTCCACCTTCAATGCGTCCTTGACGGCCCGAATGATGCAGCCCTCTTTGCCGATGAGATCGGGCAGGGCATTGGAGGGCACCTTGATGGCGTCGCTCTTGAAGTTCTCGTACGACAGGGAAGTGAAGCCCTTGGCAATCAGCTCCTCGAAAGCCTGCTTGGCTTGGGCCACCGCTTCTGGCTTGCCCTCAATGCGCAAAATGTTGGCCTCCATGTTGATGTTCTTCACGTCGGTTTTTTCCTTGATCATGTTGATGGTGCCACCCTTGGGCCCGATCACGATACCGACCCTGTCTTCAGGGACCTTCAACTCGGCGACGGAGAGCTGCTCCTTGGGCTTCTCCTCGGCGGCCGTCGTTGAGCCCTTCATGGCCATGATCTTCGCGATCTGGTCTGGAGTGGCGATCAAGGACTGGTCCACCGTCGGGCCCGCCTTGTACCCGGCCATGCCTGGCACCAGGTTTGTTGCCGCGCTCGCACCAGGCACCGCCTTGCCGCCCGCGGTCTTCAGCACCTGGGCCTCAAGCATCTTCCTCTCCTCCAGCTTCTGCTTCTGCTTCGCCTTCTTCGCGTTCATGCCGGTCGACACCTCCCAGTCGCCGCCCTTGCCTCGAGGATAAAAAAACTGCATAAACATAAACTGTCGGAGGTCCGCGCTGATTCCTTGGAGCGGCGCCAGAGGCGCCGCCAGGGGATTCCAGGCAACGATCCAAGAAATCCTAGCGGAGCGCCGCAAGTCTTTGTGCATGCTGTTTTCTCTTCTTTGATTGCCGTCGTCGACGAAGGTGTAGGTGAAGTCGTTGCTCTTCGCCGCCGGCGCCGCGGGCTTCGCCTCCTCCTCCTCCTCCTTCTTCGGCTTGGCCTCTGGAAGCCCCGCCCAGGTGGCGCCCGAGCAACTGGGAACGAAGGATGACCACGCATCGCCGAATTCGTCGGCGATGCATCGGCGACGTCTCGGCACGATCGACATATGGGTACGGAAAGAACGGGTACGAAAACCAACAACATTTTCAGTTCATTTTGGACAGCACTCGCTGTCGGTGTCGCCACGGACGTTGCCCATTTGAGACAAAAGGCCGCCTGCCCAACAGCGACTGGTGTCGGTTTGGGACAACAATTTGTGTTGGGCATCGTGCCCATGTTTTCCGTCCTCATGCCGGGCGTCCACAACGTCGGGATGTTCAAAACACATGCGCCGGATCGCGCCGCATCGCAAATGCAGCGGCGATGCAGCGCCATCATCCGGCCCCATCTGCCCCAGTCGGCTACTCGCAAGAGTGACCCCCAGACAAGAGTGGCTCTTGGTGACTGGCCTGCCGTTCGTTCCATGCGATGCGGCATTTGCGGCCCGCATGCTTGGGATTGGCCTCTGACGACCGCTCGGCAGCCGTGCACCAGAGGTCACTCCCGCGATTGACCAATCGGCTCTCGGGTCATGACTCGTGTCTCCAGTAGCCGTTCGGAACGATTCGGGAGCCCCTGGAACACTCTCGCCGAGGCACAGCTGCTGAAACGCATCGCGAGGATAGAAAACCTCCAGGAACGACAACGTCCGAAAACGCTGCTCCTCCTCCATCCGTCTGCTTCGGCTTGGCCTTGGGCTTCGCCGCCGCCTTGCCGTCAGCCTTCTTCTTCGCGTCGGCCTTCGGCTTCGGCTCCGCGGCGGCCTTCGGCGCGGCGGGCGCGGGCTCCGCGGCGGCCTTCGGCGCAGCCTTCGCCTTGCCCTTCGCCTTCGGCTCCGCCACCGCTGGGGCGGGCTCGGCCTTCGCCTTCGCCTTCGCCTTCGGCTCCGCCTTCGCCTCCGCCTTCGGCTTCGCCTTCGGCTCCGCCTTCTTCACCTCGGGCTCCGGAGCCTTCGCGGGCTCCTCGGCGGCGGCGGCGGCGTCCCTGGCCTTCTTCGCGGCCCTCCTCTTGGCACTCTTGGACACGGCGTCGTCGGCCATGGCTCGGATTATTCGGACGGCGCTGCAAAGCAGGCCGGGCACGGGCGCCGAAGGCGACGAGGGGTGCTACCCACCCTTTTCTCCGTAGCGGCTGCGGAGGGGGGTGATGAGGAGGGAAAGGGGAAGGGGAAGCGGAACAAGGGATCAGGTCAAGTCAGGTAGCTCCTGGCAGTCTACTCGTCACTCCAGCCGTGCCACAACGACAGGGGGAACGAGGGGGGGGAAGGGAAGGAGGAAGGAGAGGATAACCGATACTCATTCTGCCTCCCCATTGTCGTTTCTCACCTCCCCCTCCTCCCCCTCCCCCTCCTCCTCCTCCTCCTCCTCCTCCTCCTCCTCCTCCTGCATGCCCTTCTCATGGGGCTACAGGCTAGAGCTGGCGAAAGAGAAGAAGGAACAATACGACCACACCAAATCCTCTGAACTAACATCCAGCATGGCGAAAGACACAAGCCTATTCAGCCTGGAGCGACGCAGGATATGACCCTCTCCTCATATGCAGTTAGCGGCGAGATGGATGGGGCAGCGTGCAGCGGATCGGAGCCACGAAGCGTGCGAGGGGTGTGCCGACTTGAAGCTGAGCCTCCATGCGGAAATCTCCACTGAGACCGTGGGTGGATCTCCCTCGGGGCCACGAAACGTGTGAAGGGTAATGCCGACATGTGCAGAGCGACGCAAAGCGGATTTTCACAATTGAGCCTTCGGTGGGGCTCCCTATGGGGCCACGAGACGTGCAAGCGGTGTGCCGAAGAAGTGTGCGATGGGTGTGCCGAATTGGGCGGAGCGACGCTATGCAAACATCTCCGCTGGGGCCTTCGGTGGAGCTCCCTGTGGGGCCGCGGACTGTGTGAGTGGTGTGCTGAAATGGGCTCGGCGACGCCATGCGGACGTTCACGTTTTCACAGCAAGCAGCACCGACCCAGACCAAACAGCAGCACCGACCACCGACCACCACCGACTACCACCGACCAGCAGCACCACAAGCAGCGCCGACCACAACCGACCAGCAACGCCCACTGGCGACCAACGCCAACCACCGACCAACACCACAAGCAGCGCCGATCCCAACCGACCACAGCAGCACCTACCAGCATCCACCACCGACCACCACCGACCAGCAGCACCACAAGCAGCGCCGACGCGGCAAGAAGGACCTGGCGACGACATCCCACCCTTCACCACGACAGAGCTTAGCAAAGCAATCAAAGGACTCCGACTTGGTAAGGCCCCCGACACCAAGGGCCTCCGAGCAGAGATGCTGAAAGAAAGCACGGCGGAGCTCAAAAGTGCGCTTCTCCATCTTTACAACACAATCATTCAGCTTAAGGCCCCGCCGCTGGCTAGCTGGAGGAGCAGCGTCATCACTGTCATTCCAACAAATGGAGATCTCGCGATTCCCCAGATTACCTACCAATCTGCACGGTACCCCAACTGTACACTCTCTTGAGTCGTCTGCTCTACAACCAGCTCCAACCAACACTTGACTCTCGACAGACTGCTGACCAAGCAGGGTTCAGACCAGGGCATTCGACTGCCGACTTTACGTTGAACATCCTACGTGAACGTGCGCGCGAGTGGAACCAGAACTTCTGGGTCGCAGCACTCGACTGAAACAAAAAAACACAACTTTTGACTCTGTCGAGCACAAGAGCATCTGGGGAGCCCTGGAAGCGCAGGGTGTACCACAAGGGTACATGTCACTACAGCAACTGTACACAGGACAAACGGCCACGGTGAAGACAGACGTCACCAGCAGACCTTTTCAGTTCTCTGCGGGGCACTAAAGCAAGGCGACCCACTCAGCTCCTTTCTGTTTAACGCACTTCTGCAGCACATCATTGCACCATTGATCGCTGACTGGCAGAAGAAACGCACAAGGGTACAGCTAGGATTCACGATCACATCTACGCTCACCAACTTACACTTCGCCGACGACGTGCTCCTGACGAGCCAAACCCTTCCGCGCCTCACCGCCATGCTCGACGACATTGCCAGCGCAGCGCGACCCCACGGGCTCGAGTTACACCGTTGGGAAACCCATAGCGAGAGCGTGATTCATGAGTGTCGAGGGCGCGTATGAGGAAACTGCCAGGAAGTCCCACGCGAGAGCGCGATTCCTATATTAATTGTGAGGAAGTCCTGCGCGAGAGCGCAATTTGGGAATACATCATGAGGAAGTACCAGGCGGGAATCGCTGTTGTTGTAAACCGGGGGCCAGGGGCACAGTTTGGTCACCCCCCCCAAAAAAAAAGAACAGGGTGCGAGCCCCGGAAGAAGCACTTAAATTTGAAAGCTACAATGGTTACAGGACGGGAGGGTTCAACAATAGTAGCTAATTCTTGAGAAAACAGCTATCCGCGCCGCGGAAACCCACTTCAGCGACGCACCCAGGGGCAGTGAATGACCATTCGGCACCCTCACACTCTGCCCTTCAATGGCCCGTGGGTAAGGGAACAAGACGCTGGGGCGGCCAAGGATGCGGCCCGCCGCTGGGATACACGTCGGCCAGAGGCTGGCCTGCGAGATCGGCGGAGGACGGGCCGAGAAGGCAGGAGCGGGGAGGCATCCTTGGAGGGCCAACCCCCAGACATGCTCGCGTCGTAAATCAAATCACGACGCGAGCATGTTGACAGTTTTTGCCTTCTGAGGGCCCTTGCCGGGCCCCAGGACGTCAATGAACGACTCGGGATGAAAAACTGGCCCTGGGGTGAGGGTCGGGACTTCCGGGGACCCCGTACTGAAAATAGCAGGACATCGCGTGTCTGAGCCCGATCTTGTGGGCGGCGACCGTACACTCGATCGGCGATAGAAACGCCAAGAGTAGAAGAGCAAACACCATCAAATTGCAAACGCATAGCTTTTCGGGGGTGCGCCCGGATTTCTCAGGTTGGCGCTGCACCCCCCTCCCCACAAAAGCCTCATCAGGCGCGCGGAGAGCGCCGGGAGCGGCGACGGAGGCGCCGCCAGAGGTGTGGTGAGGGGGGAGGAGAGTGGCCCAGAACCGACCCAGGAGATGAGCCCGGAACTCCAGAACTCGAGCACGCCAAGACGACAAAGGCACAAGTTTGTCGACTGGGTCGCCACGAGCACGAGTTTGTCCAGGGATGTAGCCCTAGCGCCGGGTGCTGGGCACGGGCAGGTGCCCTCTCTGCCCACAGCGGTGCGGAGTCGCCTGTGGCGACGCGGGGCACCCTGGGCTGGCACCGCCGGCGGCCCGCCGGACCCAAGAGGGGCGCGCGCACAGCTGCCACCTGGAACGCGCACCCGCCACTAGCGTGCCAAGATGTGCGGACCCGTCACGCTGCCTCGGCCTCCGCCGCGATCGCGCCTGCTGTGAACTCGTGGGCCTTGGCGGTCTCCAGCGCCTCCTCCGCGACGCGGGCCTTCTTTGGCTCGTGGGCCACGGCTGGCCCAGGAGAGTAGCCGCCCTCGCAGCTGTCCTGCCCGGCCCCGCGCGCGGACTCTTCGCCGGCAGTGCCGCCTGCAGGCGGCGATGCCTGCGCGTCCTCGCCAGAGGCAGGGGCGGCAGCCTGTGCCTTCGCCTCCTCCGCCGCCGCCGCCCAGGAGACCTCCTGCTGCCTCCGGACCTCCGTTGTGTCCACCAGCAGGGGGGGGTCGTCGAAGTGCCACTGCGACGCCTGCGGCACGGAATGCCGCAGGAGGAACCCGGCCATGCCCCACTCTGGGAAGGGGTATACCCGCGTCCACAGGCAGTGGCGGTCCCCTCCCGACCGCTTCCAATGGCTGTGGTCCTGCAGAGGCCCAGCAGCCACCCAGAGCTCCCAGGCCTCGCCAGCTGGGCGCTGCCACCGGCGCGTCTTCACCTCCACGGTCGTCCCGGGGTCCACGCCTCGTAGGCAGAGCTCCTCGTTCTCCTCTGCTACCGACCAGCACAGCCAGGCCATGTCCCTCGCTGGGTTGCCGGCCCGCTCGTCCACGTCGATCTGGTAGGCTCGTAT